TCAGAAGTATTTTTAGGAGAATGATCAATAAGTTCACACATTCTATAGTATGAATCCAACAATTTTTTGAAAGGTTTTGGTAGGGTTAAGTAAATTAATGCCATGTCATCATTTTTTAGCCATGTCACCATTTTACATTTCAATACAAAAAACTATTAATCATTCCAATTTAGAAGCAATGCAAGAAAATAAGACTATTTTCATTAGGCTTAAGCCTGACGGGTCTCTGTTGGAAGTCAACACCAAAATGCATAAATACACTCTCAATCAAAATGATGTGTTCTATTTGAAATGTGCATCACATGCTCATTGGGTAGGCAATTTCTTTCTTTGAAGATAACTGAGATATGCAGAGTCAATCATGTAAACTTAGTATACAGGGAATTTTTTGGAATAATCTAGTAAGAGTTCTTATGATCCGATCTTCTTCTATGTGAAGAAATGTAGGGTTTTAACATACAATACCCTTTGATCTCCTTCTACACAATCCAAACTTCTTCTACGGTGAAGAATTATAGAAATTTAACATTCAATACCCTTTATCAAAAAATCACATCCTCAATAAATCCAATCAAAAAATAGCACTCTCAACAAATAACAAATCCAATAATTTTTTATTTTAAAAATATTAAATAAAGAGTTAAAGATAAATAATATAAAAATTTAAATAAAAATATTTTTAAAAAAAATCGATGTGACTTCATTAATTTACGTGTATTTATTTATTGGTATAGGTTAGAGAATATCAAATTCCTTTCATCTTTGAACGTACTCCCCAATAGTGTTTTTTTTTTTTTTTTTTTTTTTTTTTTTTTTTTTTCTAATGGAGTTCTAACTTTTTTTTTTTTTTTTTAGGGACAGATGGATCCTATAAGATTGTGATGTAATTAACTTTCCTAATTTTAGGTTTTCTTTTAATGTTTGGTTTGTAAATGTGTTTTTAATGCTTGGTATGTCACTTTACTTTGTTTTGATGGTTTTCTTGTTAGCATTGAAAGATAAAATAATACGTTGTGTTTCATGTTTTGAGCCCCACCTTTTGATTTCTAGAAACACATTTTTTAGCGTGTATTTAATTTATTGAATTATTTATTGATTTATTTATATTATTTTAAGGAGTTTTGAGTCACTTATTGTAAATTTAAATTAGTTTTTCCTAAACAAATAAACTTTAAAATATTAGAATGAAAGATATTATTTGTTTTATTTTCTGAATTTTTATTAGAATTTTTTATTTTCTTATATTTCCTTTTTTTTTGTAGGTAATAAAAAATAATGACTATAATTCCAATGGATCTAGGAAAAAAAGAATAAAAGAGCAACTCAAAGGAAGCCTGTAAAAATCATGAATTTCTTTCTTTTGTATAAGTTATTCGTCTGACACAAAAAGAAAGAAAATAAAAGGAAAAATAGTTTTTTCTTCTTGTCTCTAGCTCTTTTTTTTTTTTTTTTTTTTTTTTTTTTTTTGAAGTTGTTGTCTAGTTTTCTTGTTTCTTTAGGATCTCTATGGACACAAGAAGGAAGATCAGGATGGAAAGTTCTATTCCCTTCCTACTCTGTTTATTGTTATTTTTTTGTCTGTAATTAAACCCGTTTGTGGGGTTCGGGAGAATTTCTATGTAACTCAGATTTCTAAATTGCAATTTAGTGAATTTTTTTTTTTTCAAAGTTTAGGGTTTAGGGTTTAGGTACATATATATGACTTTTTTTATAAAAATTTTTTATCTACATTACTGTTGTGTTTATTTTTATATCATTTTGCTTTTACCTTGACCTCTTTCTCTGATATGGATTTTGACATTATCGAGACTTGTTTGTTCCTCTAAGCCTTGCGTGAATGAGAGTCAATGTGTGCTTACTACGTTGGACCCACTCCTAGATTCAAAGACCACGCAAGATGAGAGGTAATTAAGGTTACTCACATTGTACTATTTGTTCACGTCGCACTAGAACTTTTTCTTAGTTATGGTTGCCATTTCAAATGTTGAATAGTTTAACGCACCAAGATAATCATCCAATGTATATTCCAGTTACAAAGATGATTTCATTCCAACTTGATCCCAAATAGAGAAGATAATAAGTATCTATTTTCTACCCCTTGTCAAGGATCCAAGGTAGGGGTGGGGGGCAAGCCTATTAATCCTTTAGACTAAGAATAGTCATAGTCATTGAATGCTTGTCATTGTTAAGGATTTCTAAATCTAATGTTTATTTTTTCTTAATTTCTCTTATAGTTTGTTTGAGTAAAGGATTTTAAATGAGAAATATAATTTAAATAGAAATTTTAAATTTTTATTATAAAATCACTGTTTGGATATTTTATTAGAAAGTAATTTAAAATTTTAAGATTTTATATAGAATTTTAATTAATTAAAAGTATGAAATTTCAATTTCCACCTAAAACAAGAGAATTTCAAAATTCTTCACTCTATAAATAAAATAAATTTAACTATTTTGCTCAAATATGAAATTTTAAAAATAAAAAGTTGGTTATTTAATCCAAATAAGAAATGAAGCAATATAATTGTTTTGTCAAAACAAGAGAATTTGAAAATGAAGGATTTTAATTGTCTCATCCAAACAAACAAAAAAAATCTAAGTATGAAAAAATTTTAATTGAAACAATTGAAATTCTCAAAATTTAAAATTTTGAAATTTTTAACTCCTCCATCCAAACACAACCTTAAGAAGTTAGGGTTATTAATTAAGGGTAAAGGTTTAATTTCTTGAGGAATTAAGACTTCAATAAATTAGAAAATATGGTAGACAGAGAAAGAAATCAAATTGAATAAAAAATTATTTTAGGAATTTCAATAAATACTCTGAATTTTCGTGAAATTGCGGTGGCAACATTACGTTTTTAATGTTTATATTAATCTCTTTATAGGAAATTACAGTGTAATATTTTTCAAATAATTAAAGTTTAATTTGATATTTAAGAGGTGTTAATTAATATTCTTTTAAGAATTTAAGGGTTAATATAAGGGTAGAAAAAGTAGGACCTGTTTATGTAATCTCATGAAACATCAAAGACTTTTTATATAATTTACTCATACTTTGATAGCCTATCCAAAACCTATTCTTTAATTGAGATATCGTGAAACTAATAAACATACAAAGGTTATTTGTACATAATTATGTTATATGTACAATCAAATTATGATTAATTTGTGTATAGTTGATTTATTATGTTTTAAATAAAAAAATTGGGTCCTTTCTTTTTAGAGTAGATATATATTTTTTTTATGTACTAGCCCTACAAACATAATAGTTAAAAATGAAACATGAAATCATTTATCTATCTTCAATTAACAATTTAAGTCTTTTGGATTGATAAAAGTTGAATTTTAGTACAAGTAGACATGTACAATATCTATGCTTAAAGTCCAAAAGACTTAACTTTTCGGATTGTTGAATCCTAATATGGTGGAAGTTGAATTTTAGTACATAGACATGCGTACTTTGTATTCTTAAGTTCAAAAGATTCGTGTGAGGAAAAAAAAAACCTAATGAAAATAGTGTTTTTGGACTTAACTCGCTAAATTAATATTATGAACATATATAGAAACAAGCTTATAAATTTTTTAAAAAAATTTCTTTACTGAAAATAATTTTTTTTTTATAAATAAAAAAGTAAAAAAAAAAATTCGAATGTTGTATCAAAACACACATATAACATGTTTTCATGTTTGCTCAACATAGGACATTACATTAGCACTTTTTAACGAGTTGATATCTGCGAGTGCTTGTAATACACGCTGAGTTTGGGAAAAGGTATGAGTTGGATTTCCATATAATACATTCTTAGGGAGAAGCGAAAAACTTTAAATGTAATTAAGTCCTAAATCGAGAATTAATCTCGTAACCAACTTAAAAGACTAAGCATGGGCCTCGGGGTCTGTCAAAGAGCCGAAAGACTCGAATTACAATGATTAAAAAAGAAAACATATATCCACGTCAACTTCATTCATACTCATCCATCAATATTTGATGAAATCTACCAAGAGCACACTGCTGCAGCTGCTTCATCCACTCCAAGGAGTTGAATCCATCTACCATCAATTTAAGCATCAATTATTGCAACTTAGGTTTTATAAGGAGAGTATAATACGAAAGAAAAACCTTAAACTGAGAAAGTTTCATGATCGAAGTATTGCATTAAACTTGATCTCTAACATAACATGTAGGCTCCTTTATAATAAAAATTTGATTTATTTCTCTCCAACAATATAATTTTGCTATTGAAGAGGATTGTATTCAAGGTCCCAAGTGATACTAAGCCATTTTGGCGAGTGGTCCTGGGTTAAAATTTGTGTACGTATCAGAGAAGTAAGATTAAATTATCCCTTTGATTTTCTAAACATTTACCAGACATTAATTTGATCTTAATTTTAACATCATTTTTATTCTTTTAGATGACGTATTGATTAATTTGACCTTAATTTTAATGTGATTGTTTTAATCTTTTAGAGGACCAATTGAATGTCAAATATTCGAAGGAATAAATTATATCCAAGTGAATTTTCAGTCGCCCAAATTGATTATTTCAATTTGTTCGGTCAAATTTATTAGCGTGTATAAACAAGCCTGGAATAACATGTTTATTGAAAAGCACTTTTCGCTCTTTCGGGCATTGTTATTTATTGTATATACTATTAACACGTAACTATTTATTTGGTCAATTTATGCTGCCTCTTTATTGCGAGTCTCGAGTGGTTACAGGGTCCATCGTTCAGCAACCATTGCCCTTTAATACATAGGCTGGACCTATACTATTGACATCTAGACAGACAAAGTATATTAACGAATATTTATCGATGACGCTTTCCTTAAAAAGTTAAGTGTGAAATAGAACGAGTTTTCACAGTAAACCGAAATAGAAAGATGGTATAAACCAACAAAGTAATGAGCATGTAATTGCACCTTTGTAGGTAGTAACCCTACTCCAGCTACATTGAACATTGAGCATTCGTGTCCGCAAGTTAAACCAAAACATTAAATAATAAGGGAACATGAACAACAATTCCTTGAAAGCAAGATAATCATCCAAAGTAAAGTTTCTCATAATTAAGGGGAGGCGGGAGTATAACAAACAACTTTTAATGCATCCCTCCCGGATCACACCGTAATTGTTCAAGTATACAAGTTGAGTATACAATGGTTCTCCTAATTACTTAATACAACCTGTTAAAACTTTGAAGATGAGAAAACCAATTAAATCCTAAACAGAAATCAAGTTGAAGCTTCTTCTCAAACGGCTTTCCAGGGGTCTTTTCTTTTGGCGAGGGGATAAATTAACAGAACAAGGGTGGGGGGGAAGAACTATTAACAACCGGAAACAGACTAGATACACTTCTACAGGCAGAGTGGATTATATTTACACAAGGCTACACTATGATCCAAACAAGGCACACTGCTTTCTTGCATGAGATGGAATCAGTTTCACCAGCATCTCTGGAGGCACTCCCTTAAGCTCTGCGTCAACAACAGCAAAACCAGAATTACATACGAAGCTAAATACAAGGATATAAATAACATTATATTCATCAAAGAATTAGTTCTTACCACTGGCTCTGAAGTTGAAGAGTGGAGGAAGGTATCTTCCGTTTGGTAGGCGGGTATTTGGATCACGCAGTTCGTCAAAAAATGGATGAACCAAGGCCTCCAGCTACATTGAACATGCCACAAACAATATAGTTTAGTACATTTTTAAATTGGAAATTATTACTGTAAAAATTCAGTTAGGAAAGAGAAGAAACTTTCCAGGCCTTCCCCATACTATATTTGCATAAGACACATTGTGCAGGCATATTCAGAAAAAATAGAAGTTTTTTTTTTTTTTTTAAGTCAAAATATTGACAAAATGATCATGAAGAATAGCAGCCATAAAATGATCACGAATATAAAAGTTTAATCTATTCAGCAAGATTTAATGCGTCTGTAAAAGCTTCTACATATCTTAATACAACTATATACTCACAGCAGTGCATCGAAGATTTGGAGAGTATTGCAGTAGCCTTGAGACGAGATCCACAGCCTCAGGAGGTAAACGTTTGTGAAAAATCTGACGATGAAGGTTCATATACATGAACACCATATGAAATAATATGTGTATAGACGAGTATAAAAATAACATTACAATACCTTATGCCATGGATGAGCTTTAATTTGTGGAAATTTGAACTCAGTGTAATTAGGATTCATACACTTGATTTCTTCCCTTGTTGGGGTGCCTAAAACCTGCATGTGAATCCCAAACTTGTTCAGAAGTACTGAAATATAACATGGCCCTGAACGATGCAAAAGTACAAAATAAAACAAAGGGAGTATTATGGATATCTACAAACTGTCTAGTTACAAGTAAATACAAATTATGCAATTAATATAAATTCAAGAACAGGTCATTCAAAGCAAAAACCAGCTTGCAAAGACACAAAAAAAGCAGTTATCAGAATGCCATTTTACGAAGTGAATTTATTAATCTTTAGAATTTATCTTACCTTGATAATTTCAACAAGCTGATCTACTCCACTCTCGCCAGGAAAGAGAGGCTAACAAAAATAAAAATTCATTCTTAGTTCCTGCACAAGTGCACATAAATGAATTCTAAAAATAGCAGAATCAAACATAAAAGCAAAATACCTGGCCAAGCAATAGTTCACCTAGTACACAACCAGCTGACCATATATCAATGGCCGTGGTGTACTCAGTTGCACCAAATATAAGCTCAGGAGCTCTATAGTACCTAGAACAGATGTAAGATATGTTTGGTTCCCCTTTGACCTGTCAAATATATGCAAAATTTACTCATGATAATGCAAATTCAAGGTGGAGAATAAACATACCAAAACTTTTGCACTCCCAAAGTCACAAAGCTTCAGCTGGTGAGTGTGAGGATTGACCTGTCATCAGAAAACATCCAAAGAGACACAAATGAACTACCCCATCATAATATCTGAAAGTAAATTAGTTTTACAAAAGGGGAAAATACATACAGAAGCAAAGTTCTACCTTGAACACTGATTTAAGATGCAAAATGCAAATCAACACAGAAAGCAAAAGAAACTAAAGGAACAAGTTTTCATGTGAACATACCAGTAAATTTTGAGGTTTTATGTCCCTGTGAGACACTCCAATACAGTTGTGAATATAAGCCAGTGCTCTACATATCTACAGAAATAAGAAATAGAAGGCATGAGAACCAACAGAGTATTATACACAGTAGCTTTCATAAAATTTCTTTAGAAATTACAAAATAGAAGAAATTAACTTTGAATCTTTGATATAGTACATACAAATATACCTGGTAAAAATAGAGTTTCACATATATCAGTGGCATTCTTTGATTCATTTTGTTGTAATGTCTGACAACTCGATGGACAGTCTCAGGAACATACTCAAGAACCAGATTAAGATAAAGCTCATCCTTTTCAGTTGTTGAAAAGAAACAATGCTTCAAAGCTACAACATTAGGATGGTCCAGAAGGCGCATGGTTTGCAATTCCCGGTTCTTGTACCTCTTGTCTTGAAGAACCTTCTTTATAGCCACAGTTTCCCCTGTCTCTAAGCACTTTGCCTACATAATAAAGGCAAAAGATAAAATAAACATCAATATACTGCACAACATCACTACTATCCAATTAAAAGATGCACACAAGAATATACAAGGGACTGACCTGGAAAACTACACCAAACGATCCATGTCCAACAATTCGCTCAGCCATGTAGCTTATTGTCTACAATCATGAAAACATTGCAACATAATTAATCATGCTAATGCAAACAAACAGATTGTCCAAGTAACAAATAAAATGTCACAAACAGACCTGCTTTGGCTGGCCATTTTTACCACCAATGGTAGTGACAATTATATGTCCTGTTTCAGTCCCATTTCCATCTACCACGGTTTCTTCCATTTCCTTCATTTTGTTTAACAAATTACAACATAAGTAGACAACAAATTTACCAGGAAGTTGCTCAAGTGAATGATGCAAAGTGAAGAGCAAACCGACTAAGATAAAGTAGACATTTTATCTTTACCCTTTCATCCCTAATTTTCATGCCGTTCATCTCATCAGGCAACCTCTCAACAGCAACCAAACTTGCATTTACATCTCTTAATCCAGAAGCAGGCGCTACACCCGCTGATGCCATCGCCTTAAGAAAAGATCAGGTAGATTTTGTTGCAGATTCTATTCAACTCAAATACCAGGTCACGCAGACCGTTGTCTAGAGATAAACACAACTCTCAAGAGAAATCTGGATAGACAACAGCAACTTTTGGCACCAAAATCTGCACGTAAAATCAAGGATTCACCCGCAAAGATGAAAATTGTTAGCAAAACACCCAATCGGAGATAAAACCAGATAAAGAAATTACCATTCACCCCTTGTCAGCATTCGCAAAAACAATAATTAAAAAAAAAAAAAAAAAAAAAACGTAACAGCATCTTTTCTTCCTTCGTTTAAAGTGAGGAAGGATCCAAAACTATATACAAACACAACGTTTCTCTCCCCTTTTGTTCTAGCTTTAGTGCAAGCACTTAAAAGAAGCCCAATATAGCAAAGTACGGTACCTAATCAATTTCTAGCGTGTCATGTGTGGCAACCGGCATGAAAGTAGAATAGCAATGCAATGCAGAGGCAGTGGTCACAGAAACGAGAGAGAAAGAAAACACCTCAGCATCTAATGATAATACGCAAGGCTTAAAATTTCTCAGCGTAGAAAATTATTTGTGCAATGATTATTACAACCTAATTATGAATCAAGCAGGCAGAGGATGTGGATGGCATGCTCAGATGAAAATGAGATGAATTAGGTCAGAGAGAGAAAACATGGAGCAAAGAATTATGGAAATAAATGGTAGAAAGAGAGAAAAGAAGAGAAAGTCGTGTAACCTGATTGAGTGAAAACTGTGGGAAGGGAACAACGGATCTACGGCGTGGATTCGGAAAGAAGACAAGATAGAAACGAATAAGAGAGCGAAAACGAAGAAAGAGGAAGAAAGGAGGAGAATCGACAAATGCAAATCATTGACCATGTTTTTGTTTTGTGGTGTCTGCCTCTCTTATCTCTCACTCAACACAACACATCTTCTCTCTCTTGCTTTTTACTCTCTCTCCTTTCTCTTTTGACCGTTCAATGAAAAAACAAATAAAGATACTGTCATCTTTTCTTTGTTGAAAAATTATCTACCAAAACATTACTGTGAATAAAGTATAATTTGTTTGGAAAAAATCTAAACGTCAAATTTACTTGTCGGTCAAAAACAATAGGATTAAAGCGTTAAGCGATCAAATGTTAACAATAAAAGAATTATTATTATAAAAAAAAATTATAAAAAAAAAGTTTATTCTGACGATGACTACGTCAAGCTACTCCACTTTGACATCATGAGTATTTTGAATGCAGATTCAATTTATGACCATCTGATACCCATACTTTGCGGTTAAAATAAATATCATGTGCAAATCATTTATTGTATGTGTAATGAGTGGGAGAACGAGGTATGACTGGTTCGCCTTAAGTCATTGAAATTGAACTAAACGTTAACCTATTTAATAATTGTAAATTTCATAACTTTATTCAATAAAAAAGTTAACCTATTTTATTTTCATTTGACATGGTGCATGGGTCTGATTTTAGAAAATTCATACACATTTCACACGCCGGCTATTTTCGGGCATTCATTCATCAATTCAAGGCTCGTAACGAAAACATAGTTTTGTTTGGTTTGACCAAGTTGCACCTCATTTTGATGACTCCTGGCAGCTCCAATTGTGCAAAGACTAAGCACGTTCAAGGGATTCAAATCAATTTTGAACGCTGGTCATTGTTCAAGGCTCCAACCGATTGGACACCTTGCTTGTTTGATATAGTAACTAGGAGTATTGCTTTTTCCCTTTGCATTATGTCTTTCATTCCTTGACTCTATCTTTCACCGTTTTCACAAGATGAAAATTAATTTGGGTTATTCTAGTTTATATTAGAAGCTACATTATTGTCATTTATTATTATATACTTCAACTCCAGATTCGTCGTACATTATAATATGCTTCAATAATTGGTTGATATAATGGAATAAGATTTATTTATTTAACATATAAGATGCGGTAACCAAGGTAGCATGTCCCATGGCTTGTACAAGTTAGGGGACAAAGCTAATTATCTAATTAATGATTGGTTGATGGGAATGGTATTGCTCCTACCCCGAGGATTTGGATAAGTATGGTGAATAGTAAACAGTGAAGTTATTATTTTACTTTATAATCTATGAGACAACTATGTGAATTGCGAAGAGTTAGGAAACATATTTCTCATGCTCATCCTTTTAAATCTCCAACGACTTTTGCACTTGTCGAGAAATATTTGTCCAAAATTTTCATTCTAAAATTCTCGGTCATTGGTCTTCAAGTGTACAAGTAGTGGTTGCATTTGTAAAAAAGGACTTTGATGTTTAAATCAGCTGGTTTTTAGGGTATTTTGATATCTTTTTTTTTAGTAAAAATGTATCATCTAGAAATGAAATGAAGATATATATATATAGATGAAAAAATGTTATCATTGAAAATTTAGTAATTTAAGTATATTTAAAACTTTTTATTATTATGTAATTCTTGGACGTTTATTTTTTTAAGGCTTAATCGTAGAGAAAAATGTTCAATTAGGCTAAGAACCTTTTAACCTATCAATCAGGTATACATTTTATCCTCTCTTTTATGAGTTCTAACAATAGTGTAGAGTCTTATTTTCTAGGCGGAATGGAAGTTAATATTATCTCTAACTTCTTTTCTTCCTCTTCCTCTTCCTTTTCTTCTTTTTTGACAACACTAAAAACACCTATTCAAACTCCCATCCTTCTTCTTCCTCTACACCTATTACCCCTAGCACTTTAATAAAACACATTAAGGTATATCCTCCCCAACTGACCATTGAGGTACCATGAGTAGTTGAGGATGCTCTGGTCGGGAGCGAAGCGGCAAGTCCCAGTGGGGTGGGCCCTCCAACAAGCAACTCAGACTTGATGCTTATTCCCAACTCTAAAGATGGGTTTGTTATAGATGTGGAGGAATACTCAAACTAGGTTATGGATAAAGTCTTTAAGTATTCCTCTAAGTTTACGGATGAGGCTCTACTAATACACTTCCTCCATCGCACTAATATTGTGGACTTCAGAATGGGAGACCTCATAGAGGCTCAAAGACTCTTGGAGGAGGAGAGAGTGTGTCGAGAAGCTAATGACAATGAAACATGTTTCTTCTTCATGTATGAATGTCATTTCAAACCCTTAAATGTCTGACTACCCTTCGACCTCTTCATAGATGGGGTATTGTCAATTCTCAATGTAGCACCCACAAACTTCATACCAATAGTTGAGTGTTCCTGTAAGTGTTCCATTTTATCCACAAGTCTTTAGATATAGAGCCTACCCCTACAATTTTCCTACACTTCTACAAAGTCAAACCTGACACCTCATCTAGATGGATGTCTCTAATTAACCATGCCCATGGAGTGTTACTCGAGTCCTACACCACCTCTTTAAAAAACTTTAAAGATAGATTCTTTAGTTTTCCCAATAGTGAAAGGGGCACCCTTCTTTATGGATTCAATCCTCGAGGGCGATGAAAACATGGTTCCCAAATTTCCTTTCTACTAGACAAAGGAACCATTGAAGTATAAGGTTTGGGAACTAGATACAATAAGTCCTCAAGAATAAGAAAAATTAAAAATTAATTAAACATTTTCCTTTACCACTAAAAACAAAAGAGATCTTAGAGGTTTCCATTTTGTCAAACATTCAAAAAAAAAACTTGAGAGTAAGTGGTAGATCTTTGATTGTGCATGTGCTTAGTTATTTAAAAGTATTTGATACTTTAGCATATTATTGAGCTAACTTGTGTTTTTTTTTTATTTATTTAGCATTCATGTCTCAAAACTTCAACTTTGACTGAAAGACCGTTTAGATTGCTACCGTTGCACAAGGTTCTCGAGGTGCCAAGAACTTTACTATGAGAAACTTGGGCTCTAAAAACCCAGGTGCCGACAACCCTACAGCCACCCCGAATAGAAATCCCACATAAGCTCAAAAGGGGCCTCAGCGGTCGACTCTATCAACAACTAGCGACCATACAAATGTATCTCCTCCTCACCATGCTTGCAAAGAGAGGCATAAGGAAAAAAGACCAGAGGGTTCTCATCCTCACAAGAAATCAAGGTCAATAAATGTACCTTTACTGTCAACACTGGTACCTTCTTCGATAAGGGTTTCGACCCGTTATCAGTTAGGAATTTGTCTACCTTCTCTTCACCAAGCAAGAGGACTAAAGAAGACTAGTCTCGAGGTGGCATTGGCTACCTTCTATGATTTAGTAGCCTGATCTTAGTAATCACCCAATACCTCGAGGCTGAATTGTGCAAGGCTAGTGTCAACTTAGATGACATCAACAAGTTGAAGGCTGATCTCAAGAAGAATCGAGATAATCTTTAATTAGGAGACCTTGAAGACTAATGAAAATTTGTCATAAAAGGTCACCAAGTTATGGACCTAAATTGGTGACCTACATTACCGAGATGGCCAAGCTTAGAGTCTTATTCAACACCTTGAGGAGTCCCAAAACAAACTCACCATAAGAAAAGTGTGAAGAATTGGCTCTTGGAGATGATCAAGCTCTAAGAGAAGAAGAAAACAAAGAGAGAGATGGTGGAGACAAGGTTAGTTGAGGCTCAACTCCAAATATTCAAACAACACAAGACTAGTTTCAACAAAGCTCTTCGACAGGTTATCCACTTCTACAATATGTTGGACATGCATGTTTTTGACATAGACAAGGATGTTTGTGAGGGTAAGATAGTAGATGTGGAGGACCTATGCACGAGTATGGACTAGATCTGATTACCCTTCCACTAGAGGATGTTGAACTCGTCATCGAGGACACCCATGTTGAGGTCGTAAATGAGTAAGAGGCAATGGTTAACACTTAGTAAATTAATATAAGGGGTTGATAGTGCCCATTACTCACTATATTTTTCTTTTGAATCAATGAAATTTTCTTTGCCTATTCCAAATATTCATATATTTTACCTTTACGCAAATCAATGCATTTATCAATTATTTGAGTGCTTGTATCAACACCATTTTCTTAACACCAAGTTTAACTTGGGTTTTAGGTTACTTTGCCGAGAACTCGTGCTCGACCAAAGGTTTTAGTACCAAGATTTTATACTTGATTTTTAGTTCCAAGATTTTATACTTAGGTTTTAGGGTACTTGGCCAAGGACTTATACTCGGTCAAGGTTTGCAGCACCAAGATTTTATACTTGGGTTCGGTACCAATATTTTATATTTGGGTTTTAGATTACTTGGTTGAGAACTCATGCTCGGTCAAAGTTTGTAATACCAATATTTTGCACTTGTGCTTTTAGTACCAATATTTTATACTTGGATTTTTAGTACCAAGATTGTATACTTAAGTTTTAGGTTACTTGGACGATGACTCGTGCTCGGCCAAGGTTTGTAATACCAAATTTTTATACTTGGACTTGACACCAAGATTTTATACTTGGGTTTGCTATTAAGACTTTATACTTGAGTTTTAGGTTATTTTGCTAAGGACTTGTGCTTGGCCAAGGTTTGTAATATCAAGATTTTATACTTGGGTTTTATACATTTCTCCGATAGTTTTTGAATAGACTTGAACATAGTATGAAAGTAATGAAGGTTTTATTGATAATATTGGTGTGCCTCGCTAAAACTTCCCTACTCAAAATCCTTTCTTTTTCATGGGAAAAAAGACTAGTGGTGGGAAAAAGTATACATCTTAATACAACATGTAATACATTTAACTGTAATAAAATTTAAGATGAGATATATTCCAAGTCCTCAGAATCTCCTATTTGAACAAGTATTCAAGTTTGTATGCTTCATTGTTCAAACTTTGAGTGACTCTAAAAGGTTTATCCCAATTTACCAAAAACTTTCTTCAACTGAATCATTCCTAACTTCTCCCTAAACTCTCCATACCAAATCACCTTGTTGGAACTCTTTTTTGACTAGCTGAGACGCATGT